CCTCCCTGCCTCCTTACCTCCCTGCCTCCCTCTCTCCCTTCCTGCCTCCCTTTCTCCTTCCCTGCCTTGTCCTTTTGTTTTGTTTTGTTTTTGTTTACCTTTGATGATGTGTAAGATTACAAGAGTTAGTTACACACACATACACACACACACACACACACACACACACGAAAAATGGATGTTTAAGAAAAAAAGCAAAATGTCACTTTCAAGACTAAGGTTCCCTTGACAAAGCCATGGTGTTTTCCGTTATCTCACAGGTGTGTGAAAGCTGGACAATGTCTAGGGAGGTGTGAAAACAAATTGATGTCCTGGAAATGTGGTGCCAATCAAGAGCCATGACAGGACAGGGGTCCATTCTGTTATTCATAGGGTCACTGTGAGTCATGCTCAACTCAATGGCACCTAACAAAAACAACCACATAGAAAAATGAACACATCTGCCTTGGAATAAGTGTGCTCGGGAAAGTAGGGTAGCAGCACAAAAGAGCAAGACCTTCAAGAAGATGAAGCAAATCAGTGGCTACAGCAGTCAGCTCCAGCAGTTCCCTGAGAGCATGGGGCAGGTCGGCGCAGGGGTGCGTTCTGTTTTGTGCAGGGTCACAGTGAGTCTGGAACGAGGTGACACCACCGAACAACAGCATAGTCATGAAGCCTTGGCTAAATTGATGCCAAAATGTCATATTTTTTTTTTCTATTTTCAACTGATACTAAAGTGTTCAACGTTTCGGCATGTGATTGATGAACACTTAGGGTCCTTTCTTAAAAAGTTCCTGTCTATAAATTTTAAGAAAGCTACACCTTAATCAATAATAAAATGATGATTATTAACTAAACAAGAAGAGTTAAAAAATAGTCTTTTACTTAAAATACAAGGAAAAGTGGACTTAAAATATGCTTTTTGGGGAAATTAGCATATATATATTAATTTAAGAAAAGTTTTTATGCTCTTAGAAGCTTGCTCTTATCTTGCTTTATTTTTTTTTTCATTTTCTGTAATTTATCTTTTTCTTTTTTTCCGCAGAAGAGCACAGGTCGGCCACATATAATCCAGAAGACCTTGGCAGGGCAATATTCTAAGCAAATGAAGAATCTTAGTAAGTTTGAGTTAAAATAGCTGTTGTAGGAACTGTGGTTTGATAGATATCAGTGGGCATGCAAGCTTGATGGGCTGAGATGTAGGGTGAGCAGGGTGTGTGGGCAACAGTTGGAAACCCAAAGTGTGAAGCCCAGGAGTAAAGCGTTGATGGGAGCCATAATGGTTTAGTGAGATTCAGCTTTAATTTCACAAGAGTTTGCTGCCACTAGCCAATTCAGATTATTTCCTCGTATGTGCTGATTTTGAAACATCTTAAATAAAACTAACAAAAGTTTCTTTTGGATTGAGTATGTGATCTAGTTTCTCTATTTCAATCCAAACATCTTTAATAATTTATCTAAAACATTTATGCTACAAATTATTTTCATTTTTAAAATGAATTACTCTTATAATTTTCTAAAGTTTTCAAATATTGAATGTCATGTGGTGTGATAGGTCAAGTACACACATATACTAATGAATTTGAACTCTTTATATGTGCTTCCTGATATTTGCAAGATTCCATGTTTGAACTGTCTTTGTGACCATGATATCATGAAATGTTTAATGATAAATGTGCTTTTTTTTCACCTACACTCTTGGCTTTGAGATGAAATATGTTATTCCACTATACCTTCATATCGAATTAAGAAAGCAGTCAGATCTAAATGGTGTTGCTTGCTCTCCTTTTGCACAGGCACGGAAATCAATGACCAGTGGCCCTTTTTATCTGAATTACAGTGGTTGAAAAGGAGAAGAAAGAGAGCAGTGAATGTGAGTATGACAGAAAGGCAGGATGTTGTTGTTAGGTGTCATTAATTGACTCACACTCATTGTGACTCATACATGACGGAAGAAAACCCTGCCCAGTCCTACACTGTCCACCGTCTCCATGTGTTTATGCCCATTTCCCCCCACTCATTGTGTCAGTTCAGTCTTTTTGAGGGTCGTGTGCCCCTTCTTTGAATCTCTACTTTTTTAACATCATCTCCTTCTCCAGGGATTTTTCCCTCCTGATAACATGTCCAAAGAATGTGAGACAAAGTCTTGCCAACCTTTCTTTTAAGGCTGTAGGTCAAGTTTCTTTTACATCTGCCTCTTAATGACTGTAGGACAGAGTGGAGCTGTTCCGTGGGTTCCCAAGGATGGAAATCTATATGGAAGACAACTACCACATCTTTCTCTTTTGGAGCAGTTGGGTGGGTTTGAACCAGCTGTCTTTTTAGTTAGTGGTTGCTGTGGTATACTGTGGCGTTAGAACCGACACATAGCTGTCCCTCTAGTGGATTTTCAGAGGCAGTTAGTTGCAAGGGAGGAGACTGCCCATCTTTCTCCTATGGAGCAGCTGGTAGATTCAAACTGCCTTCAGGATTGGAGCTCACCTTCTTAGCATTAGACCAGCGGACTCTTACCCATTCTATAACCAGGGCTCCTATGACCTCTTCTTGTTGTTGTTATGTGCTGTTGAGTTGCCTATGACTCATAGTGACCCTATGTACAATAGCTCTGAACTCTGCCCTATCCTGAGCCAATTTCTGTCTCCTCTTTGCACACACCCCCCAACTCCTATTACCCCAGTAACTGAGTCAGTCATTCTTATCAAGGGTCTTCCTCACTTGCTCTGTCCCTCCACCCTTCTGAGCACGATGTCTTCTACAGGAATAAGTTCCTTTCTGGCGGAATGCCCAAAGTATATGAGAGCTTCAAAATCCTTGCCTCCAAGGAGCAGCTCAGTTTCACCCTCTCTAGAGCAGACCTGTTTGTTTTCTTAGCAGTCCATGGTGTGTTCAATACTCTTCTCCAGGACCACAACTTAAAGTCACCAATTCTTCTTTTATTAATACTTACCATTGTCCCTCAGTCTAGAGACTAAGATGTACCTGATCTAGGTCATGGTCTTTGCAGTTACTTGATAAGCATCAGAGAGCTGGATAATGACTAGGGATGACAGAAGAAGAATTAAGGGACCAGTCCTTAGAGAAGGACATCATGCTTGAAAGTGTGGAGGGACAGTGCAAGAGAGAAAGACCCCAGATAAAATGGATCGATACAGTAACCGGGGGCCATGAGGGTAGGTGTGTTAGAGTCAGTGAGACTGGCTCAGGAGAGGGCAGGCTTCAGAGCTGTTGAACATAGAGTTGCTATGAGTTACAGGCAACTTGATACATAACAGCAACAACCATCACCACCACCACTCTCCAGCTCTCTGATGCATAAAAATAACTGTGAAGACCATGGCTTAATTCAGGAGCACCCAAGTCTCTAGACTGACATTGTTGCTCTTCGGTACTCTGGAGAGGTTCCAAACAGAAGATTTTTCCCAGTGCATTTTGTCTTTTGATTTCTTGATTGCTGGTGCCAAGAGTATTGATTTTGGAACCAAGCAAGCTAAAATTTTTAACTATCTCAATTTCTTCTCTATCATGATGCTGCCAGTTGACCAAGTGGTGAGAATCTTTGTTTTTTTGATGTTGAGCTTCAATTCATATTGAAAACTCAGTCCTTGACATTCTGCAGCAAATGCCTCAGGTCCTCCTCAGTTTTGACAAGCAAGTTTGTGTCATCTATATAAAGCAGGTTGAGAAAAGGTGCATCCCTTGCATACACCTTTCCTGATTTTGAACAATGCAATATTTCCTTGCTCTGTTCTGATAATTGCCTCCTGGTCCAAGTGTAGGTTTCTTATGAGCACAATTACGTGTTCATGGGATTCCTGTTCTCAAGGTTAGCCACAATGCATTGTGATCCAAATGGTCAAATGTCTTTGCATAGTCAATGAAACAAACACAGGTAAATATTCCTCTGGTATGGTCTACTTTCAGCTAAGATCCATCTGACGTTGGTTATAATATTCCTAGTGCCATGCACTCTTCTAAACCCAGCTTGCACAGCTGGAGATTCTCTGTTGATGTACTGTTCCAGTCATTTTTGGATAATCTTCAGGAGAATTTTATATATATGTAATAGTAATGATATTGCTTGATAATTTCCATACTCTATTAGATCACTTTATTTGGGAATGAGAATATGGACCTCTTCCAGTCAGTTGGCCAGATTCCTCCAGATTTCTTGGCACAAGCTGATGAGCACATACAGGAGAACATCTGTTTGTTGAAATATGTCAGTTAATATGCCATCAATTCCTTGGTTTTTACCAATTCCTTCAGAGCAGCCTGAACTTCTTCCTTCATCACCACTGCATGTTGATCATATGTTGTTTCATGAAATTCTTCTATGTCAGTCAATTCTTTTTTAAATAAATAATGACTCTTTGTACTCCTTCAGTCTTCTTTTGATGCTTCCTGGTCATTCAATACTCTACCCACAGCATCCTTAAGTATTAAAATTCGAGGCTTGAATTTGTTGTTCAATTCCTTCAGCTTAAGAGATGCCAAGTTACTTTGTCCTTTTTGATTTTCTGACTCTAGCCTTTTGCACATTTGGTTTGTCTTCCCAAGCTGCCCTTTGAAATCTTCTGTTTAGTTCCTTAACATCATGATTTCTTTCCTTTGCTTATGTGACTTTAAAATTACACCTTATAGGCAAACCACCTTTTTGTATTTTTTTATCTCTCTCTTTAGCAATTCAAACCAGTGTTCTATGAACTCTGGTATCATATGAAGAAATAAAGAATACTTCACTTTAAAATTCTTATAAAAATTGCTGTTCTCTTTTTTCCTCTTAAAATACAGGAGATTTTAGGGTGATAGGGTCTGTAAATATCATATAAACTGCTCTTCCTTATTAAAAAGTAGTGGGAAGAGATAGATTTTTTTGAGGTGTTAGATAATTATGTTCACTTGTATTTCTTTCAAATTAAAATTTCCATCATACCATATTTTAAAGGTGTTTTTCAGAAGACTAAATCTGTTTGCCCATTATTGATATGATAATTACTAAATAATCATGTCATTGCATCAACAGCTGTTTTATACTAAATATCTAACTCACACATATTGATAAATATATAGAGGCTTTATAAAGGAAATGATAATCCTAGTCTTTTTCATAGTAGATTAGAAAGCTGTAATGATGAAGACTGTTTAGTAATTATATGGTGAGTACTATGTAACTGAGAATTAATTCCATAGCTTATAGATTACATGGTAATTTGCTGGATAACTTAATGAGTAATTATAGTAGAAATTACACATTTTAGATAATGTTTTACTGAATGTACTTTTTGTGGAAAATTAGACCACCAGCCATCAAAAATTTAGTTCCAGAATAACTCATCCTCGATTTCATGAGTTCATTTCAATGTTATGGTGATTCTGGGTACCTTTTTTCCTTTATTTTTTTAACATCTAGATTTCTTTTTTTAAAAAATCTTTGAAGACATAGTTGGCAATAAATTTTGTGTAGTAATTGAGTTGGATTTTAATGCTGCAAAAGAATGTTGAATATTCCATTGATTCTCAAGAGAACAAACAAGTCTGTCCCCGAGAAAGTAAAATCAGGATACTTCTTAGAGGCAAGGATGGTAAAACTCCATCTCTCACACTTTGGGCATGTTGTAAAGAGGGGCCAGTCTTTGGAGATGGACGTCATTCATGGAAAGGTGAAGGGTCAGCGCAAGAGAGAAAGGCCCTCAACAAGATGGATTGGCACAGTGACTGTAGCAGTGGGGTCAAGTGTGTTAGAGGTGGTGAGGTTGGCTCAGGACAGCCTTTGTTCATAGGGTCGTTATGAATTGTGGTGTATTTGACAGCACATAACAATAACAAGAACAGTTACAGTAAACTTATGTTGTAATAATAAGGTATGTATGTGTGCAATCTAATCTTTTACTCTTATGTACCTCTATCAAACTTAGACTGATTGATAACCATGTTGATTCAAAATAGTCACCATTATTAGTTTTCCAACTCTAGAGGGAAAAAAAAATTGAAGCCCAAATGAGGAATAAAGCTTAGCTCTTAAGAGATTATCCAGTAATAATTTAAATGCAGAAGTACATAAAAGAATTCTATATGCCTTTGAGAAGTTTGTCCTTTTTGATGTAAAAATAATTGGTTTATTATTAGACTTTTTTATGATTGAATTTTGTATTTTCAAGTTATTTATTCATTGCAAATAACTTTTTAGTTTTTTCATTTTCTACTAGTTTATTTACAAAATTCAAATACCTTTTTTAAAGAACAAATTCTTTTCAGTTTCCCTCACCCTGCCCCCATCAAATTGTACAACCCAATGATTAATCTCCCTTACCCCGCACATCCTCATTCCTCTGCTTCCCCTTCCGCCTCCCCCACGATCCTCATACTCATTCTACAATAATGGTTTTATACAATGTCTAACCTTGTGGGACTGAGTTAGTTCACTCAGCCTAATGCTCTCCAGTCCCTCCCAAGTTAGGTAATAATTTATAAAATCATTGCTCCTGTGTGCTACATAGTATTTCATTGTGTGAACATACCATAATTTCTCAATTCAATGTTTGTGGTGGGGCATTTTAATCCAGCTAGTTAAGGTATGTGTTTAATCCATTCATGCTTGTTTGTGATGAACAACTTGAAGATCATTTTCTTTTATGCTGTTCTTATTAAATGTGTCTTAAGTAGACTTTTTTTACACTTTACATATTTCTTAATTTCTTGGCTTAATGGCAGAAAAGCGAAGATGTTTTAGTGAAATACTATATAGTTTTCCCCTAGAATATTTTTCCAGAACTCTTATTGTGGTTTGAATATGCCAGCTGTTTAGGAGGTGAAAGATAAATAAACTTCTTCCATGTCATTTGTTTGAGGCCTTTGAAAAGCTAAAGGAGAGTCAGCACTGCATTGATCCTGACTTTGTGATAATGATTTTGACTTCTGTGGATATTTTAATACATAAAAAACCAAAATAAAAACAAGATAGACTTCTGCCTGTCTTTATGATTACTTAACTGTTGTTGTTAATTATTACATGTCATCAAGTGACTTGTGACTCATAGCTCTGAACCCTGCTCTATCCTGTGCCAACCTCATCATCTCTGACACACCCACACCTATTACCCCAGTCACTGTGTCAATCTATCTCATCCACGGTCTTCCTCTCCTGCACTGTCCATCCACCCGTCCAAGCATGATGCCTTTCCCCAAGGACTGATCCCTCGCAACCTGCCCAAAATATGTCAGACAAAGTGTTCCCCACTTTATGGTTGTTTCCTTTGAATCTTCTTGCACCTTTATGATCAGTCTAGTGTAGATATTTTACATAGTGACCTTGTTTCTTCCAAGATATTTATAAAATAGACAGCAGGACATATTTTAAAATTTGTTTTATATTGGTGTACATACAAAATTCATATAATTTGTGTTTCACACTATTCTTCATTCACATTGTTTCCTACAATCTTTCTTATTCATTGTGTTTTGTAAAATTAGTAGCCATTGAACTATACCCACAATTGCCCCATCTTTTTAGATCCCCACCAGCTTTTTCCCATTTCCTTTATGCCTTCCCTCCACCCACAAATTGTGCAACCCTGTGATTTCTCCCCTGCCCATCCTCCCGCCTCTGCTCTTACCCCTTTTCCCCTTAGGTCCTCATATTCATTTTACTAGTTATACTTCTATTTTTACAATAATGTGTTTATGCAGTATTTGAGAACATTCTTCTGATATGCAGAGTCAGTCTACACTTGAGCATTAAGAATTCTTTTGTGTCAACCTCTATGCTAAATATATATTTTTTTTAATTTTCCACAGCCATCTCGTGGTGTATTTGAAGAAATGAAATATTTAGAACTTATGATTGTTAATGATCATAAAACGGTAAGCATATCATGATCTTCGGACCCAACAATTAACTTAGGAAATAAATTTGACTTGTTAAATCCAGGATCGATCAGTTGATCTATCTATCTGTCTGCTTTTTTTATTTTGATGTGTTAAATATCTTTCCTGGTGGTTAAAAATGCTGAGTGTTGTAGAGAGTTTCACTAATTGAAGCTTTATTTCTGTTTAATAATGGCTGTAAGGAATGGACATAACTATTTGTTTGGCATCTTGTCTTCATTTAAAATTTTTACTTTTTCCCTTCATCTATTTGTTCATTGCTTTCAAATTTATTCTGTATACTTGTTCTGCTAATATTATTTTTTTTCTTACCAGTTATGATGATTTGTGGTTGCTATAACCATAATAAAGAAGCACACATGCATAAAGTTGTTGTTATGTACATGTACCTTCAATTCAGAGAGTCTCACCACTGAGCCAACTGGAAGCACCATGATAATGGAAAAGAGATTGAGGTTGTTAACAATTTCAGCTTGCTCAGCTCCACAATCAACACTCTTGGCACCAAAATAAAAAAAATCAAAAGATGAATTCCATTGAGGAAGTCTGCTGTCAGGGACCTCTCCAGAGTGCTGCGGAGCATTGATGTCAGTCTAGAGACAAAGGTGGGCCTGATCCATGCCATGATCTTGTATCAGAGAGCTGGACAATGACTAAGAATGACAGAAGAATTGATGCCTTCGAGTTGTGGTGCTGGATAAGAGTAATGAACATACCATGGACCGTCAAGAAAACAAATAGATCTGTCTTGGAGAAGGTGAATGCAAGTTTCTCCTTGGAGGCTAGGATTTTGAAGCTCCATCTAATATACTTTGGGCACATGGCCTGGAGAGACCAGTCCTTGTAGAAGGACATCATGCTTGGAAGGAATGAGTGACAGTGCAGGAGAGGAAGACCCCGGATGAGATGGATTGACTGATAACTGGGGCAATGGGATTAGAAATGATGGAGACAGTAAGACTGGCTCAAAATAGGGTATATAGGGTTGCTATGAGTTGCAGGCAACTTGACAGCACATTATAAAAACAATTGTCAAGTTGGAACTGATTTATAACTGACCCTTAATGGGTTTTTAGAGGCTATAAGCTGTGTGGAGGAGATGACCCATCTTTCTTCTGCAGAACAGCTGGGCTATTCAAACCACTTGCCTTTCGGTTCGTGGTGCAACTCCTTACTACTAGTATTTCCTAGGTTGTCAATTAAATAAAGCTTTAAATTAACAAATCTGGTGGTTGTGTGACAGTCCTTATGTTACTTGGTCTCTCGTAAGTATTGGACAGAGTTGATCACTCCCTTTTTCATACATTGCCTTACCTTTTTGGCTTCTGTGAAACACTCCACCACCTACCTGGCCACTACAATTACTCTAGAACTGCTGGTATGCTCCATGGCCTGTTTCAGGGCTCTTCTATACTTTTCACTAAGTAAGCACATCCCCTTTCAAGTCTTTGAACTTTATCGTAAGTTTTACCATAATTTTAAATTTGTTGTGTTATGTGCCCTCGAGTTGCCTGTGACTCATAGCTTGTAAGAGCTCTGAACCTTGTCCTATCCTCAGCCATTCTGTCTCTGACACACCTGCCCCCAGGACCCCAGTCACTGTGTGAATCCATCTCATCCAGGATCTTCCTCTCCTGTGTTGTCCCTACACCTTTTTTAAAAAAAAAATTATTTATTTTTAATTTTTTTTTTGTCCCTACACCTTCTTATGCATGAAAGGAGAATTGAAACTTTCAAATCACTACTCCCTACATCATTAGCCTTTAGGGTTCTGAACTCAGCTACATCCTTGACATCCCTGCATCAATACTGAATAGCCATCTATTACTTAACGTTTCTAAATCAGAGTTCAGTTCTTTGGTTCTTTTCTTTGGACTTGCTATCGAAGAGGGATCCATCCATAGAAAGAGACATCATGCTTGAAAAACATAGAGGGCCAATGAAAGAGAGGAAGACCTTCCACAAGAGGGACTGGCACCGTGGCTGAAACAAGGGGCTTGAGCAGACAAGGGTCCCTCTCTTGTTCGGTTCCAGTGAGTCAGAGCCAACTGGAAGACATCTGAACAACAATGAACTCAGTCTTTCCTGACTTTTCTCATTATTTTAAGCAGCACTAACAGTCTCCTAAGCTATTCAAATATTAAACTTAGAAGCAATCTTTCATTTTATTCCTCCTTCCTCATTGTCAAAATATAATAGAAGAAAATGTCCTAGGAGCTGTGTCTTTGTGATCTCTTTTACCTCCATCTACTTCTCACTGCCATTCTCCAGTGCCATCGTCTAATTTTTGTTGCTTACAGTGACTAGGGATAATAGAAAGGGAATTGATGCTTTTGAGCTGTGGTGCTGGAGAAGAGTGTTGAATATACCATGGACTGCTAGGAGAATGAACAGGTTTGTTCTGGAGAGGGTGAAGCCAGAATACTCGTTGGAGGCAAAGGTTCTGAGGCTTTGTCTGACATACTTTGGGCATTTTGCAAGGAGGGACCAGTCCTTGGAGAGAGATGTCATATTTGGGAGAGTAGGGGGACGGTGCAGGAGAGGAAGACTCTCTATGAGGGGGATCAATTCAGTGATTGGGGTAGTGGGAGTAGGTGTGTCAGAGACAGTGAGGTTGTCACAGGATAGAACAGGGTTTAGGACTCTTGTACATAGGACTTGATGGCACATGACAATAATAACAACAAATTTGAACTAGTTAACACAAGGGTTTCCCTGAGTGGTTTCCTGACTCCCCTTTGAACTTCTCTACTATATTCACAGTTCTTTTTGATACATTGACTGTATTCCCTCCATCTTCTTTTGATATTTTCGGAATCACTCAAGATTTTTCCTATAGCATCTCTCAGTATTACAACTCCAGTCTTGAATTTGTTTTTAAGTTCTTTCGACTTGAAAAATCCTAGTGAGTTCTTTCCTTTTTTATTCTCCAACTCCGGTTCTTTGCACACTCGAGTATAGCACTTCGCTTTTTCATCACATGTTATCCTTTGATATCATTGCTCATCTCTTTTACTTCTGAATTCCTTGCCTTCATTTTGTATTCTTGACTCTCTAGTGCTATTTTCAGAGTCTTTTCTGCCATCCATTTTGATCTTTGCTTCTTCCTCTGTCATTTCAATGACCTTTTTACTTTCTCCGTGGATAATATGTACTGTATCAAAAATAATAGATTGACACAAAAAAATTTCAGGAAGTACCATAGGAACAAGAGCCCATGGAAATGACAAAAGACATTTAAGCTGTACCGAAATCATTGGCAAAAAAGATCCCTGGAATCAATGGCATACCAATTGACATGTTAACAACTAACAGATACAGTCCTAGATGTGCTGAGCAGTTTGTAACAGGAAGTTTAGAGGGCAGCTACTGGGCTGACTGATAGAAGAAATCCATATGTATTCTTATTCCTAGAAAGGTGGCCCGACAGGATGTAGATATTACTGAACAATATCATTAATATCACATGCAAGTAAAATATGCTGAAAATAATTTTTTTTTAAAAGGCTAGAACGGTCCTTTGACAGAGAACTTCCAGAAGATCAAGCTGGATTTAGAAGAGACCCTGGCTTCAGGGTTATTTTTGCTTATAGCAGATAGATCCTGGCTGAAAGCAGAGATGACAAGAAGCATATCTATATGGGCCCTACTGACTAGGCAAAAGTGTTAAACTTTGAGGGTCATAACACACTATGGCTAACATTGAGAAGAATGGGAATACCAAAACACTTAAATTGTGCTCATGCAAAACCTATTCCTTGACCAAAAGGCCTCTTTCCATGCAGATCAAGGGAACATTATATTGTTTAAAATCAGGAAAGGTATGCATCAGGGTTCTATCATTTCTCCATACCTATTCAGTCTGTATGCTGAGCAAATAATTGAAGAACCAGGACCCTATGGAGAAGAGTAGGGTGTAGGATTCAGAAGATGACTCATCAACAACCTATGTTATGCAGATGACACAAATTTGCTTGCTGAAAATGATTTGAAGCACTTGCTGCAGAAGATCAAAGACTGAAGCCTGCAATATGGATTGCAACTCAACATCAAGAAGACAAAATCTTCACCACCAGGCCAATAAGTGACTTCATGGTAGATGGAGAAAAGATTTACACTGTCAGCAATTTCATCTAACTGGAATCTACTGTCACCATCCTTGGTACCAGCAGTCAGGAGATCCGGAGATGTATTGCATTGGGCAAGTGTGCTGTCAGGGTCCTCTCCAAATTACTCAGGAGCAGTGGTATCAGTTTGAAGACCAAAGTGTTTCTGATTCAGGCTGTGAGTTTTTTCAGTCTCTTGCTATGTGTCTGAGAGCTGGACAATGAAAAAGGATGACAGAAGAATTGTTGCTTTTGAGCTGTTGTGTTGGAGAAGAGTACTGAATATCAACACTCTTGGTGCCAACTGTTAGAAAATTAAAAGAGTAATTGATTTAGGAAAATCTGCTCATAGGGATCTCTTCTGAGTGCTAGACAGCAATGATGTCAGCCTAGAGCCCAAGGTGTGCCTGATTTAGGCCATGGTCTTCACAGTTACTTACTATGCATCAGAGAGCCGAACAATGACTATGGGTGACAGAAGAATCAATGATCTTTGAGTTATGATGCTAGAGAAGAGTATTCAACATACCATGGACCTCCAATAACAAACTGGTCAAGAGGGTGAAACCAAGTTGCTCCTTGGAGACAAGGATTTTAAAACTCTCTCTCATATCCTTTGAGCATGTTGCCAGGAGGGACCAGTCCTTAAAGAAGGACATCATGCTTGGAAGGGTGGAGGGACATTGCAGGAGAGGAAGACCTTGGATGAGACGGATTGACACAAAAGCTGGATTAATAGGAGTGCTGTGTCAGAGGCAATGACATTGGCTCAGAGTAGAGCTGGGTTCAAAGCTGTCATTCATAGGTTCACTATGAGTTGCAGTCAACTTGATGGCACATAGCAACAACAACAACTGAATATCCGATGGA